CCCCAAAACCCCAAAACCCCAAAACCCCTTAAGATTCATAGATGTTTAAAGAGAGTGATTTGAAAAATATATTAAAAATGTCAAGTTAAGCAAGTAATTCACAAACTCACACTAGATAGGCATCTTTTACCTCTAGAGTCTAGTAAAGCAGCACAATTGGGGGATCAAACGTAGCTAAACCTAACTTGAATATTATGAGGCAATTTAAATATGATCAGACTATCTTTGACAGACCGAAAACACTGTCAAGCTTTAAGTCAGTTAGCATGCAAAATCAACTGAAAGAATAGGAGGACACCTTGACTAAATTACAAGACAAGATGGTCGAGTTCTACTTCTTTTTGGTATCTATTTCTTTAAGTTATATTCATTCTATAGAATGCTAGTAAGTTGCCCAAGGGATCGTAAATTGAGAAAGAAAAGGAGAGATACCAAAAGATGCCAATTATGCTAGTTTTTGACTACTTAAAGGGATTTTTCTTTAAAAGTCAGAATGAAAATGAAGAACTAAAGCACAAAATTGAGAAATTGGAAAAAGGAGAAAATCTTGATAAGATCTTGAAGTCTAATAATACTGGTAATGCCTTTAGCCAAGAGAATGAACAATATATGAAAGACCTTAAAACAACCATTGATAAATTGTAGTTTGAAAATTCTAAGATCAAAATGGAACTTGAAAAAACAGTTAAGGAGCTTACAGATTTTAAGGCCTAGAAAAAGTAGGCTATGGACACCTCATAGGTTATTATTTTAGAAATAAAGAATGATAACGAAAAATTACTAAAAGTAATCGACGATAAAAATGGTTAGATCGAGTTGTTTAAGAAAGACATCCAAGACAGAGATATATAGATTGAAAAACTAAAAGAGAAATTAGTGGACACATCTAAGCTTCAGTAAAAGGTTAAATTACTTGAGAACAAGTATGCCACTGATATCAATCATATCAAAGCAATTTCAATGAAAGAGAATGTAGATAAGAAGAAAGGCGAAGGTGAACATACTAAGCTGCTTGCCCTTAATAATGTAAAAGATGAGAGAATTCTTTTTCTTGAGAATGAAATAAAATCTTTTAGAGACAAAGTCTCAACCGACAGATAGACTCAAAACTAAGTATCTAAACTATCCTTCAGAGCAGAAATTAATGAGAAAATAAGTAGGAAAAGTGAGCATGAGATAGCAAGACTAAAGATTCGGATTGAAGAAAAGGATAGATAAATTGAGAAAATCAAAAAGGACTTCGACAGAGTATTTGAAGAACTTAAGAAATATAAGAAGGATGCAGAGAAAGCAATAAAATATGAAAGTATTTAAGGACCATAGGGTAATCAAATGATGAATATGGGTTCAAATTCAGCATAGTCAGTTATACCTTACATTCCAGTAGACAAGAATCCTTACTTATTAGAAGAGTATTAAAAGAAGGTAAGGGAGCAAGAGCAAGTAATTCTAGGCATGCGTAAAAAATTTAAACGAATGAATCTAACTGAGAAAAAGGCTTATATAAAGCAAAAAGAGTTTGAGATGCAACGTTTTGAATATGAAAGGGAAATTTAAGATATGAGGAAATATGGTGGAGATAAGAAAAAGAGTCATGGTTATCTAAGTAACGGTGATTCAGATTCATCTTTAGATGAAAGAGGATATCCACCTTCTACAAAGATTAAGCATGACGATGGTAGTGTTAGTAACATGCCTAGGAGTTCTTCTATTTAAAAGCTAACTTCAGGATTGCAAAGTAAAATGCTATTTAACTAAGTAGGATCATAGACTTAGAGAAATTTCAAAACAGCTAGTGGAGCTTTATTAGTAAATACTAACAACAAAGATAGTGTAGCTTGGAGTAACAATGAAAACCTAAAGACTCTTAAAGAAACAAGAATGACTCTGAATACTTTAAATACTAATAATGAATTAGGAAGTGATCTGAATGATAAATCTTCCAAAAGATTTGGATCAGTTAAAACTTAGTTGTAGAAGCTTAATCTTTGAATCAATATATAGCCACTGATTAACTCAAATTTATTTGCAAAGCACTCATTGATTTCATTATTTAACAATGTCTACTTAAAATGATTAAATCTCTTCATGAGGGGTTTTGGGGTTTTGGGGTTTTGGGGTTTTGGGG